GCTGGCGAGCGCCCACGCCGATGCCCACACCCAGCCCTGGCGCAGCTGAAAGTCCGACTTGCGCGGAGCTGCACGGCCGTCGCGGTACTGCCAGTGCGAGCAACCGGCCGGAAGAAAACGACTGCCCCATCCAATCAGCGGCAGCTTTGACTCGTACTCGTAGAGCTCCACCACCTGCTCGTTGGAAGAGGAAGTTTCGCGCGGCAGCATCGATACTTCTGGTAGCGTCTCCTGCTGTTGGCCCTCTGTCACCGGCGCTGCCGTTGGCGTCGATGTCTCGTGAGACACCGCGGCCCCCGATGCAGAACGGGGCCCCTGAATTGCAGGCAACACGTTTGCAGCACCCGTCGAGGAGCGGGTGGGCGCGGTGTTTGTTGTCGTGTCTCCCCCGCGACGACTCTCATCGCCGCCGGCAGCATGACTGCCGCTCACGGTGGCGGCCCCTCGCTGCACGAGCCGCACCACGCGGGATGTCAATGGTGATCTGAGCACCGCCACCCATCGCCGTCTCCGCACCCGCGCCGTTGGCACCTGCTCTCTCGTGTACACCCCGTAGTATTTAGTGGAGAAGCGCCATCCCTCAAAGTTTGTGTCGGCCATCTCCAAGCTCCACTTGCTGGAGGACACGCCACGCGTACGCTCAGCCTGCTCTTTCGTGCACGGATACCACTGCGGGCCGTCGGTGGGAATAAAGGTGTTCCCTTTCCAGCGCAGCCCGTCATGCTCCCCACGCTCGTACTCGTAGACGGAGAAAACCGACTCGTATTCCGCCACCGCACCCATCGCGTGAAACTCCCTTAGTTTCCGCAGGCGGCGAACGTCCGGAATGTAACTTTCGTCACACAACTGCGCCACGGCGCCGGTAACCTTCGAAACATCCGACAGCAAACCCGCCATAGGCCTCGTAACAACCCCAATAAGCCCCATGCCAACCCCGCGCACAAGTCCCGTGGCGCCCGACTCGGCAACGCCCTCCATCGGCTTCGTGAGCACGCCTGTGACCCCACTGGTGATGCCATGCAGTAGACTCGTTCGCTTCCGCTGCCTTCCACCCGATGCGGCGCCCATGATGTCCGCTCCCGTTTTCGCAAGGTTGGAAACGGCGCCCAGTCCACCGCCCATCACTTCCGTCACCAAGGCCGAGGAGCCACTGGCAAAGCCCATCGCAAAAGCCTTTGGGGATGTCGAGAGACCCGCTATAGGCTCCTGAAAAAATTTCATGGCGCCACTGCCAATCCCCGAAACGAGTTTAATAGGCACACCAAGCAGAGGCAGAGATGACGCGTACTGAAAGAGAATCCCATGAATTTCGTTACGAATACCGTCGAGGTAAAATTGAATCAGCCACTTTAGCATCAGGCCGGCACTGGAGGAGCGCTTCCGCACAGCAATACCGGGCGTGGCAATCCGTACATCCTCACAGGAGCGAACCAACATGGACACAAGAGCCGCAGTGCGAATTTGTATATGTTCTCGTATAAAGTCATGACCGTCCACCTCACGTTCAAACCAAAGTCGCACCACAAGTGGATTCACCACCATACGCTCCATAATCACACGTGTATCCATGGCACTCACGGTTGATTGTGCCTTATCAAACAACTCCTCTTCCGTCGGGGATGTTTGCCGCGACGGTAACTCCGTGCTTAGTTGTGCTCCAAATGCTGCGAGAGCAACCAATACATTGTCAGATATGCGCAACGCCACGGGAACAACGTCAAGACGAACCTCATTAAGATATAATATGGCTTTGGCCGGAACCACAATACGTTCTACATGCCCAGAGAGGCACGCCACATCCGGAGAGGTACGAATGGCAACAACAGCAACCTCAAAGAAAGGTTTAATCTCAGTCTGATTATCTACTTGAAAGTTTTTAATGGAGAAATCAAAAACCTCCTTCGTGCCTTCTCGATTGAAGTGTACACGTGTGTCTACAATGGCCCCAAAGAGCACATCTCTATCGGTCATCACCATGGAAATAGAAAGCATGTTAATGTTCAAGACGACATCCAGTGGGGAGGGCGGAGAAGGCTGGTATTTGTGCAGTGCCCGCTCCGTGCTACCCGTGGAGTAAACAATCTCCACAATCTGTTGACCAAATGGCCCAAGACTGAGATTGTACTCAATACCAAGCGGGTTGGATGCCTCCTGCGGTGTCATACGCCGTTGAAAATTGAATTCCACAAAGCTTGAAGTTTCCTCCTCTCCTTTTTTGTCTATTTCCATAGTGGTCTTGGCCTCAGCAGTACCCACAGGACTAGTAACAGCAGCCAGGATCGATTTGCGCCCAACAAAACATGTAGCAGCAAAATCCCTTGCAAAAGACACGCGTGTTCGACTATTGCCGTTACGCACATCCATAGCAAAGGGCTTTACACATCCAGGTTTAACCTGAGCGAGAAACCGATCTTGTGTGTCACACAAATCGAGAGTCTTCTCTGTCCGGTTAATAAGGATGTATGGCGGTACAACAGGATCCTGCATGGTCACGAAGGTGTAGGGGCCTTGAGTAGCCACAGAGACCTCCACAATGCGGTCCGATCCATCCATGTCAGGTGTGTCGCCTGCACCATGGACCACCACCAACGTACTGCTGATTTCCTCCAAACTCACAGGATCCCCTCGTATGGGAGCATGGGTGTCCTGCAGCAGAAACGCGCCATAACCCACATCTGGAGTACTGTTCAGTGTTGAAAAAAATGGCGTGGCAGAATTTGCTGGCGCCAGTTGCATTATTTCCTTGCTACATGCATACAGTGATCCTTCACCGGATAAAGTTGGAATCGGAGATAATAATGTCCCCGATTTCCTCAGCCTGGCGCTCCAATTTTTATAATCACCACTACTACGACTACTCATCCCACCACTGCTCTCACCAACACCAACACCACCACCACCAGCAACAGCAGCCGTCGTAGAGGAAGAAGATGACGATGCCGTTGTTGTTGCTCCTGGCGCTGATGCAGATTGTTTCAACGCCTGCGCAATGTAAAGTGAGCGTGAGGTGCAATTAACGAGAATCCAACGTGGCACAATGGTCACAAAGCGGGTACCATACATGTCCACTTGAGTCAGGTAAACAAAATGGAATACGCTTCTCGTTCCTACGCGCGAGACCGCAACGTTCCTCTCTGTCATTGTAATCAACCCGCGACCCTGCACATGGAAGGGTACAGCAGACGCCCACATATCACCAACGCTTATATTCACAAAAAACTCCGTGGTATCTTTTCCACTGGGCGATGCGGCATATGTCCGTTGCATTTTCTTCGGTAAAATACCAAAGTTCGTTCTTGTCTTGGAGACCAACTCCCCTAAACTATTCGACTCCCACACCTGCAGATCCAATGGGGTGAAGTTGACAATGCTGTAGGGCGTACCCAGCAGAATGATATTGCCCATGCATTGCACATGGATACGCATTTCTTGTGTTTCTTTCGAAGCTGCAGTGAGCGTCACGCGTGTGAATCCACGTGAAAGAGATATGCCGCGTTGTGTTCTGTACGTTGTGGTTATCCCACCAGTACTTGGATGGTTTTGTTGCAGCTCAAGGTGGAGAGCCAACTCATCGATGCCCACATCACCAAGCACGACATCCGCCTTCTGCGCGGACTCCACCACAGCACAGTACCGCTGTTGCTTCTTTGATCCAGACCCTCCAATGGAGAAAAAGACGTCATATGGAAGACAATTCTGGATATAGAGTTGAGGCTCAATAGAAATAAGAAAAGTTGGAATACCTGCACGTACGCCATCCTGCTGCTCTTTCATTCTAAATATAAAGTCATTGTGGGTATTTTTACTCCCGCGACAGACGAGTGTGATGAAAGAAGCGTTCAGTAGCATGCGTAATGTGGGCGTCACATTGGTCTGCTTTGTCACGGCCGCCGTGTATTCCTCTCCGTCAGAAAGGCGCACAGGACGCAGATATAACTTCTCATCCAGTGAGAAGCTTGAATGAAAGTAAAACCGTTCATGCGGACTTACCGCCGGCAATCCACGAACGACCTCTACAAATGCACTGATGTTATTCTCAAAGCAAATAATCATATTGCTGCGGTGGACAGGGTAGCAGTGAAGGCGCACCGCGCAATGCAGACGGAAGTCCTCTTCGCCACGGGAGAGCTCCAACCGCACCTCTGCCAACATGTCATGTCCACGCACGTATAACGGCGACTTGGCCCAATGGATTGTCATTCCGTCACCCACAACGCCGCAGCGCCGCACAACGCCACTCCTCGATGTGGCTGCAAACTCCAAACGGCCCCCGCGAGGCTCCACCGTCTTGCCATCCACCTCAAGTGACTCGTTAAGATAATTTGTCACCACGACAAAAGCGCATATTTTATCGTCTTCGTTGTAGTGAGGAAATTGCACAAGAGAAACCTGTTGAATATTCATCATGGACCCCAATGTATCGCCCCCCATTCCATCTTCCAGTGGTTTTTCCCCCGTCAGCACTTTACGTACGTTGTTTCGGAGCTTTTTACGAAGCTGCTTGTGTAGTTTGGAGGTGGGGGAAAAGTCCGCTGCAAGCTGCGAGAGAAGCTTCATGTTGTCAGGTGAAAAGACGTAGTCAAAGCGGTCCACCTTAATCTTGTACGTGGACGACGTCACATTCCCACTTATGCCCGCCTCAAACCTCTCCACTAGCGGCTCCCAAATGTTTGCGTGAGGATTTAAATTGTAAACCTGCAGTTTCATCTGCAGTTGAAATTCTTTATCAGGCGCCACGGTTACCGCGATACCGCTTGATGTGTACAACTGCAGCATGCCACCCTGGCCACCCAATAGCACCAAGTCCACCAATGGAACATCAAAGTTTATCTCTGTCGCGGGCAGCGTACGACGTCCAGTGCAACAGTGGTAACATAACACACCTGTTGCATCTTTGGACTCACCCAATGAAGCACCAGGACTGCCACAAGAAAGACACTCCCCAGCAATTGGCAAATCCACTAGGGGTTGGAGGTCCTCATTCTCAAGCGCCACCTGCGGCGCATGTCGTTGAAGCATGGCCTCCCCAATAAAGGCGGTCATAAAATCATTACCAAATTCCAATAACGAACGCAAAAGAGCCATACGTAGGCATAACTCCAATCCACTTAAATTTGCAACAATACAGATGGTGTCGGCCCCCGCTAATGATAACTCTAATGTCGTTGGAAACAGCGTGTTCTCGTCTTCTTCAGAGGTATGCATATCCTTAAGAGAAATATTGGCCGAACGTTGTGTTAACACCCCATTTTCCGTCTGCTGCAAGTAAAGAAAAGAAGTTGACGCGGTTACTGTGACACTAATCTCTTCTACCTCCTCAGACAACATTCGCATAGTGAACTCCTTGCACTGAAAGGACGCAATCGTACGAACATCGTCTCCCATGAAGTTTGACGTGGAATTGGATGGGGATCCAGCATGAACAGGGGTAATGACGGCAATGGGTGGGGAAAGGACTCCTGACTGTGGTAACGGCTTTATTGAAGGGAGGGAACAGGGGACGGCATTCTTGTTTCCAGACAGTAAGTAAGAATCTGGTACTGCCTTGCTCCGTCTTTTGCTCGGCTTTACAAATGGTGCGAGATTTCGGCCATGGTGCACTTGTTTCTCAATGATACACGTGTCCGTCGTAAATAGTGTCGCATTAAGACCAAAACTGACAAATGAACTCAACGCATACATGCCGGGCACAAAAATACAGCCATTCGTGAGGGTCAGTTGGCAGTTGTCATCCAAGACTATCTGGGCAGTTGGGGTGCCTGACAGATAAAGCTTGTGCTGATTCAAGTCAAGTTTATAGGAGCAACGTGTCTTCCCCGCCGTGATGATAATATGATGACTGTCGAGCACCAGGTCCGAGCCCAAGACGTGCACATCGGTGGTCAACCTGCAAACGGGAATGGGTGAAAGAGGAAGGCGAAGGACTTTTGTGCAAAATGGCCCATACAGCATCTCTCGCGCGTCAAGTAGCACCAGCGGAGAAAGTGACATCTGTAAACTTTCCAGTGTGATGTTTGTGTTCGTTTCCGACATGCGGGCTGCCAAAGACACTTGAACCGTCACTGTAGAGGTGAGTTGGGCCTTCTTCATCACGAAAAGATGGATGTCGGCACGAAGGCCACTGACACCACACACATGATGCCGTAGTGCAATTGTATCCAACGCAATGGTGGTAGCGGTGGTATTCATCCCGGAATTCGTCAAGTACACAAAGTCCAGTTGATCCACATCAAGCTGAAAAACTCCGTCGATGTTCGCCTCAAATCGCTGCATATTCGCCTTGAAAGTGATCGATCCACCGGTAGCACCGCCTCTCCCACTGCCACTGCGTCCGCGGTTCGATGGTGTCAATGTATCCGGTGATAGGGGTGTGACATTCGCGGTGTTGCCCGAATGTAGCAGGGCCGAATTCCCAGAATTGGATTTCTTCTTCATCACCATCGTTCCCAAAAGAGACGTCGCAATTGGTGTCGCGCCGCTGGCCGCACCCTCCGGATGCCCACCACCACCACTACCACCGCCTGCCGCCTGCGATGTCGAGAATGCCACGACAGGCACGCCCTCCACGGGGATGCCGGACAGACCGGAATTCCTCCAGGCACCCATGACGTCCAAAAGGCATTCCAATTGTCCCCGCGTCAAGTGTGCGGAGAGTGTAGGGATGACCAGTGAGACGCTGGTCGTGTCGGGCGAAGAAAGCTCAGCAGAGGACGTAAGCTCCATGAAGGACGAGGCAGAGTTTTCCCCAATACCCCGCAAGACATTAATCTCAATCACACTATTGTGACTAAAGGCGGGAGCCCCAAGCACGTTTAATGACATTCGGTTGATGTGTAAGCGGAACACCTCGGCGTAGCTGTCGGCTAGCGGCGTTGATTCATCCGAGCGGTGGCAACAAATTTCATTCCGCACCAAAAAATCGCCCGGGCACATCTCCATCGTCTTGGAGGAGTTGGCCGAATCCACCAATATGATAGACGAACGATGGAGGGTCAACTCCACCTGCGTCAGCTCTTGCCGCTCCTGAACAGTTTGAACTGTCTTGTCTGCAACGTAATCGTATGCCTTCTCACGGTTGACATCCGATATATGTTCCTTTACTTCTGAAAGCAAACGCACAACAGCAGATGTCACCTCCGGTACCAAAACGATGGCAAAGGATGAGATTTGGCAGTGCAACTGGTACGTATACGAGGGTACGGACCTATCTGCATCCCCCTCACCAATATGACCACTCGAGCTTATTTTTTTCTTGCTGTTGAGGTTTTTGTGTGGCAACGAAATAAATGAAAACTCAATGACCCCTGATGGCGTTTGTCCCTTCGTGTCTGTCGCTCCCTCAAGGAGGGGTTGGAGTATTTCAGGGTACAGAGTGCTTGTTGAGAAGGTATCCCGTACAATGACCTGTTCTATGGATGCCGTAAGCCTCATGGAGGCATCGGTGTATGCCCGCCAATCCACAATGAAGTCCTTCAACTCGGCGACGCAAACGTCACGACTGCCCAGAACTGCGACGGCAGAGCAGTGATTCAACGACACAAGAATGCAACGGGAAAGAACCGTAGAAGAAGGTTCTGTCATCGTTTGACTTTCAGTGGTGGGGGCTTCAGTAGCCGTAATTACAGAAAATTTCCCGTGGGTGTCCATTGGAGATAATTCTGTCCCGGTTTCGATGACGAGAATCTCTTCTAATGGCGGTGGAAACTGCACGGAAAGCAGCGTGTTGAAAATGCTTCCCAGCGCCTTTGGAATAAGCATAAATCTCATATCCGCAAGTGTGACGTTGACAGTCTTCTCTGCACTTGACATGCAGACTGTGATTGGTTGGTCTCCGAGTGACTGCGCCAGCTGGCGGTTGGTGAAGTGCTCCAGCATGGTGAGGGAGCCCACTGTCATGCGCACATCACCAGAGGGTGCCACCTCCACGTCAATTCCACTGAGAAAAGCCGTGTGTGCGTTGATGCCAACGACATCGTGAATGGCAAGGACGACACCCTCCGCACGGAAATGAATTGTCCGCAAGTTGGCTTCCTCCACGTGAGTGACCCCTTCCTGGACCTCCCCGTTTTCTTCCTCTTTTTCTTCTTTCTTCTTCGGACTCACGGGTGCTTCCGAGGATGCCTCCGTCTTCATTCCTGCCCTGTCACGTTGGGCGCTGATTGTCGTGGTCGGTGCCATCAGGTTACGGTGCAGAACCCACAATAATTTCTCCAACTCCTCAGGATGGAGTAGGGCTGCCGTTTTATCCAGAACAACATCCACATTTTCCCTCCTGTCCTTCAGCGCATATGATAGCCGCAGCGAGGACTTCTCCAGCATGTCAGGGATTGCCATGTCCGTCACCTTCATCGCAACCGTGTAATTCCCGTTGCGTTTGTCCAAAGAAACAGTCGAACGCATAATCCCCAGTTGTGCCTCGATGCTGCGCAATTTATTCCCGAGGTCCTGCGCATCACCAGCTAGGATTATGCGGGGCTGTCGCCACAACAAACTAAGCGAAAAGGCACCACTCTGAACCAAATCCTCTGCCGCGCGTGCCAGCCACTCGCGCCGCTCCCGCATGACGCCCAAGTTGGAAATTTTCGCAATGGGCTGGTCAGGTCGGGTGCAATACTCCACAAGCTGCATGATAAGTGGCATGGAGAATAGCGCGGTGAGTTGCCCCAGTGAGACGGTCACCTTCTGCCGCTCCGCCCCCGCGTCAAAGCTGCCGGAGAAGGCCAAGATATCCCCACCGGATGCCTTTTCCGCGGCGGAAGCCTCCCCCTCCACGGACCCGGAAAAAGCAACGCCCGGAATTGGTGCCGCATCCGTGACGGGGCGCAGCAACTCCTCCTGGGACCCACCTGCATTAGGGGCGGCGTCACTCTGCCTGTAGAGAATACGCTCCGCCGAGGCACGGTGCCGCACCTCCAAATCCTGCATTCGCACCGTAACGTTGCTGACACCGGGGAGCGCCAAAAAGTCCACAAAGAGCGATGTGATGTCCGCCTCAATAAATTCTTCACGTGAAGTCGTCAAAAATGGCACGTTCACGGTCCGTGTCTTAATCAAACAATGAAATCGCCTCTTCGTCTCCGCATCGTTCCCGACTGGCGACAATGGCGGAGACGAGGAAGGGGAGGCTTCTGCCGCCCCCATCATGGGCCGCAATGCAGCCATGACGGCCTCATTGCAGACAAAGTCATGCACCGCAAGCCACTGGTCCGACAGTGCGAAACGCTTCAACGTGAAGTCAACCACCACTGTTGGGACCTCCAGCAGCTCCGTTTCGATATCCACCGAGTACCCCTCGGTGCCGGACACCCTGCCGCTCCACAAATCCCACACGGACCTATCCGAGGTCTGCGTCACACTACTGCGCATGCCAAAGTTCTTCTGAAGAATCTCGGAGGAAGTCAAAATGTTACGCAGTTCGACGCGGCTTTCTCCACACAACATCATGGAGGCACGTTGTGTCACCTCATATACGTCATTTAGCTCCAAACTCTCCCATCCCACAGTCACATCATTGCTAGGCACAAACACTTGAAATATAAACCCATTCCCTTCTACACGGAACCGCATCTTGTTGGTTGACTCATCAAGAAGATTCAAGCATACTTTACTGGCCCGCCAAAGAACGCGCACCTCACGGCCCGTGTTCTCCTTATCCATATATGGAGGAACAGCGCGAGGAATAGGAAGCAAAGTCAAGCCAGATGCCGAAGCAACAAAAGAGATATCAGCCGGTCGTTCAGGCATATGCGTCGTAGACGACGACGGAGATATGGAGGGTGCCAATGAGGATTCTACCAATTGTGGCGACTTTGGTGCCGACGCCGCCGCACGTACAGATGGCGGTGGTGGCATACGTCTCAGGTTGCCGCTTGCAAGTCGACAGAGCCCAACAATGTCAGTCTCCGTAATTTGAAGTGTGACATCCTCACCTCGCAGGTCCACATGAAGCGGTTCATCTGAGAGCGGGTCGAGTGGAGTCTTCACAGACATGTCAAGGGTTGTTGTAGGCATCAGTGTGTGTGGCTCCTCATTTTCGCCCTCGGACCCAGTAGTAACGGCCGCAAATTCCTTTAAGGACGTGTGAAGCAAACGAATCTCGCGCAAAGAAATGTTCATTGTTTGTTTGCCCTCCGCTGACAGCAGGCTGCTCTGCACAACGACGTGATCGACTGTAACCTGAAAATATCCATCACCTGTTGTGCGGGTATCGATGGGAAGAATAAAAAACAAATCCCGCGCGTACACCCGCAAGCTTGTCAACAGAGTTGGTGGCTGCACCGGCGGTGAAGAAACCGTGACACGCCCATCGTACCGCGGTCGACTTGTTAGTTGTGTCACGCGGGCAAAGAGACCGGAGCTGAAGTACTGTGTCACGGTCAGGATGCTGTATACATCGAGAAGCACCGTACTGGAGCTGACTTCAATCTCCACAAAACTTGAGAAGCGCAGTTCAGCGGCATTGGACAAATGCCGCTTGCCTTTGCAGTCTGTCTCAAAAATAGGAACCACCGGAAGACTAGTGCGGTAGGAAAAATTGATGTGCTCATGCGATTCATGGCGTACGAGGTGCGTGTCCAGAAAGGGAACATCCTGCTGCAACGCCGGCCGGAGAGGGGTCCGTGACGGAGGGGCCTTGTACTGCACGATGGTGCGATGCGCCGGGGCAACGTCGTGGGCTTCTGCGAGGGCAAAAGTAACCTGCCCCACCCCGCCACTCACCTCTAGCGTCGCCCCATTCTTCTTAAGAGAAAGTGTCATCTCTGTGAAGGAGGCGTGGGCGAAAGGATAATCCTCCTCCTCTTTCTCCCCTTCTTCTTTGTCGTTCTTTTCATTTTCGACCCTTTCTTCTGCCGTTTTCTTTTCCTCCCCAGACTCCGCGTCACTATCATCTTTCCGCGGTACCCTCTTCTTTCTGCGTCGATCCATGATATCCACCACCGTTGTGCCGGCAACGTGCAGGGAAAGTTTTACCACGTTTGTGTCGTATGTACTGCACAGCTCCTCCACGAGGTTCACCTGAGAATGCTGACTCGTGGGACGGATGGTGGTAGTCCCACGAGGCGCCGTAGACCCTGTGAAGTGTCGCAGCAGTTGGGAAGAAAACGCCTTCTCCTCCCCCTCCCCTTCCTTTAAAACACGTGGCGCCCCGCTGACGAGGTTCATAATATCCATCAGCGTCTCAAGGAGTTGAATGCAGGGTGTGCCAAAACAAAATCTCAGTGAGGGCTCCAGCTCCACATCCACTCGGATAGGGGTGTCGGGCGCCGTCTTCACACCGCAGCGGATCACAGTTGCACTGAGAATCAGCTGATCCGGTTCCTTTGCATCACTGCAATACGGCTGCTCAAGGATCATGCTTACACATTTCTGCAGCGTACGCACGTGTAGAGTCACCTCGGCAGTGCTGAAGGCCATTGTGAAACGAGGCGTCTTCATCGGCTGCAGCGTCTCGGGCTCGTCTTCATAAATGAGAATGCCAAGCTCCTTGACCTTTAAGTGCAGACGCACATAAGGAAGGTCCTCTCGTGATCTTCCCAATGGCGATGGGGAAGCCGGGATGTCATCGGACTCCGACTCGCCTCCTTTTCGGTTGCGCATCAGTGCGTTGTTCGTGTGTGTAAAGCCATGCGGCCCTTCCAGCCCAACAACAGCCGATTGGGATGCCCTTTCCCCGCCACGTAGCGTGGCCTCCAGCGATGGCGGAAGCTGCTCGTCGGCATAAGGTGAATCATTCGCCTGAAGATACAGCAACCAACTCTCCACCATGTTGGATAAGATGTAGGCTTGGCTGACGGAGCACGCCATGCATAGTGATGGTACCTCCATTCGTACAATAAACCTTTCCCGATTTTCAATGGAGTCGTCAATAATTTGCAAGACTTTGGCAGAAAAGGCGACTTCGGGAACAAGCATAAAGCCTTTACCAGGCCTCTCCAATGACAACCCAATCGGAGCAATCTCCACGTAGAAGTTTGAAAACGTAGCGCTACTAGAATAGTACATCAGGTCCTCATTCATTTCACTAAGCGTCGTTGTGCTCGCCAAGCGACTTTGCTTCTCCGTCTCGGTAAGGGGTTCAGTTTCAAACTGAACGTGTCCAAGGGATACCGCCAGTGCCGGCTCCTCTACAGAACCCCGCAACGTTTTCGGCACAATAATGTACGGTGCCGCAGCGTCCACGCTAATACTAAAGCTCTTCGAGTGGGCCATGGCACGACGCAACTCTGAAGAGGCCGCCTGTCCAACTGTGGCAGCGAGGCTTTTGGTGCTCCGCACAATAGACGCGAGATCCAGACCCTTTGGAAACTGAAAAAAACAAATAACGTGATCAATAATGGACGGTTCCGCCACGATTCGAAGGGGCAGGAGACGGAGATCCAATGCAAAGTCCAATTGCGTGTTTTTGAGCTGCGGCTCTTTTTGGGCATCGATGGGGTTAAAAGCGGCGCTGCACTCCAGCAATGGCACCCCGCCCTGTTGCTTCGGCGAAAGTGGCGGAAGAGAAGACGACATGGAAGATGACCGTCGTGATGTGGGATCTATTTTCCATGCGCTTGCCGCACTAGACGAGAGAGGGATACCCTCCACAAGTGATGGAAGCCTTTCCTGAAGAGCGTTATCTTGTACCGGGTTTGACAGCGTCAGATTCTCGGTGATGAAACGAAGCTGCACAGAGTTGGCCGCGTTGAATTTCCTAAGATGCGTCCTAACAGAATGCAGCATCAGTGTCACAGTCTCCCTCTTCCCCATGTCCAGCCGCAGACTAAACATCGGGAGGTCAAACTGGGCATCCAGCCAGCAGTATGACTTGGGCAGCGCGGACACATCCACCATAGTCGTCTCTGCCCCCTCCGGGTCATTCGGGTTGATGCCATACGATCGCTCCAGCTCCTCAAAGGCGGCTTCCTCTTCTTCTATGTCCTGTGGTGTCTTTGGTCCACGACGCAGCCACGCAAACCAGCCCGTATTCTTTTTGGCAAAGTTTGACTGCGCTTCGGCCTTTTTAGCCTCATTGTCCTTCCGCTTAAGTTGAATGGCGTTGGCGATCTGTGTGTAGACGTATTTTCGCCCCGCAATCATATCGGGGACAGTCATAAAGCGTGTAATAAAACGGTATGCGCGTTGTTTATCGGCAGACATCTCCGCCTTACGCACGACATCGCGGTAGAGTACATGATAATCGACGATACACACTTCCGAAATGCGTTGCAGCAGCCTCTCCCGGCGTGGTGCCCCTGTGATGGTCCTCACTGCTCGAATGGCGTAGCGCCACCACACGGCAGGGTCCTGTAGGATGGGAACGGTGGGTCGGCGTGGAAACAACTCTACCCCTCCTGTCCAGTTACTTAACAAAGATACGGTACGCATGAGTGATACGTACTGCGCACGGTTAAACTTCGCAGTGACGGAGCCTAATTTCATGCGTGCTGTTAAGTATGGGTCATGCAGGAGGTTCTTTATGAACTTCTTAAACACTAAGTTCACATCTACGTGGCCCTTGACCGGGCCGAGAACCGTGGACATTTCTACATCCCCCGCCTCCACACGATTCCGCATCGCTGTGTGCCACTCTGACATGTCAGTCATCTTCGAGATAAAATAATCCCCCGGTTCCCTCTCATATCGAAGAGGATCATCGCAGTAAAACTGCATTCCCTTAAACTCCAGCCGCTTGTGCATGCGTGAGAGGCCAGAAGGATCGATAAACGTTGCCTCTCCGGTAATGCTGTCGATTGTTGTAAACTCCACCCCACCGAGGATAACACCCATAACAGATTTGGTCGACTCATCCTCGTATCGCACATGTACACTCCGCACTTTCACAACGATGTTGTTAACAACAAGTTCCCCGAGATGGGAGAAATAACCGTCCCTCCCCGTTGTTAACGGAGTCAGTAAAGACGGTGCCGGGGCAACGCCATCCCCGGCATCGGCCATAAAGCCACTACCATGACCACTACGAGTACCAGCAAGACCAGAAGGAGACGCTGCAGCGGTATTGGTACCGCCTTCTTTGGCCGCTGCTGCTGCTGCTGCCACATCCCGCATGCGTCTTCGTTCTGCTTCAAACTGTTCCAGTTCACGTGCCTTATGCGCAGCCTGGGCATCAAGTTTGGCGGCCTTACCGAGCACCGCATCCCGGCTTTCCGTGCTACCACAAACACAAATAAAAAGTTCATCCACCTCCACAACCACCGGCTTTGAGCGCAGTTGCGTGAAAGGGACGACAATGCTCACTTTCTTACATACACCACGCTGCAACGTTAGCGGCAAGCAACTACTCACCGCGGTCGACGCGGCAGTCGTATGGACTGCAGCAGAAGAAGAAGAACAGGAAGGAGTTGAAGCGACACCGCTGCTGGTAGGGACATCGCTGCCAGATTCCCCTTGCAGCAGTGCGTCCAATATGCTTGGCCTCAGGATGAGGTCATTCAGGGATGCCTTGCCGCTCCAGAGGTCCACGTTGAGTTGCTTTGAGTCAATGTTCTCCGCGTATTTGGAGAAATAAGGCACAAGAATAGCACTCAAGTACTTTTCAAGCATGTCGTCAGAAAAAAGAACGTGTCTTTTATGCAAGTATGTGTCTCTACCCCCTCCTCCACCCCACTTTACTCTCTCTCTCTCTGTGTGAGTGTGTGTATTTGTGTGTTATCACCCGCCTGCGTGCGTTTAACCTTCCTCTTGTTTGTCAACTCCTTAAATTTAATCCCCGCCCCACCCCAACCCAGTGTGTGTGCGTATGTATAATATAATATAATATTAATATAATACAATATATAATATATACAATATTATATATATATATAATATATATACAGGCAAGCTAGAACAAAAAAAGAAAAAAAGGAAAAAAACTGTGCTCACACACACACACAGAAACTCAGAAAGACAGAGGGACGCCAAGTACTTAACGTTTCACTCTTAAATTAATCTTTCCTCTTTTTTGTCGTTTTTTTTTTTTTTCTCCTTTTTGTTGTTTTTTGTTTATCCTGCTTTTGTGTGTGCCCTAAATAAAATATATAAATGTGACTGCTGCTTCCTTCTCAGCAACAACGGTACAGGCATACATGCGATGTCATGAATGTAAAACAGGGATATAAAGAGAGAGAGAAAAAGAGAGAAAAAGAGAGAAAAGTGTCGTTGAACACATACACATGGAATAAAAGAGGGGCAGTACGAACAGGACTTGCCGCCGCCGCTGCCACACATAAAAGAGGGCGGAAGGGGGGAAGGAAAAAAAAAAAAAAAAAGGGTGAATTGATGGTGTTGGTAGTCAAATAATATTCACAGACGTAACAAAAAAGAATATGATGGAGAAGAAGAAAAATAAAAACAGAGAAGGGGGGGGGAAAAGGGAAAAAAGAGGGAAATGAGGGCAAACGCTTTAAAAAAAAAAGAAAAAAAAAAAGGGAAAAAAAGAAAGCCGGTGAATATTAAAATTCAGCCCGCATAAATTTGCACACAAACACACAAACACATAAATATATAAATATATAAATATATACACACGCATATTTCCCACCACCACCTCCTCCTCCTCCTCCTCCTCCATATGCACTCACACATAAATAAACATTCCCTCCTCCCTTCTACAAATCCCCCGCACCCTCTTTTTTTTTTTTTTTTTCCTTTCATTTTCTTTCCTTTGTTTGTTTCTCGTTGGTTCCATCAATCCGCTGCATAATTTCCTTCTTTCCTTCTGACCCCCGCCCCCGGTGTTTACGTGACGATCCACAGCGAGAGGCTGCACCAGAGTACAATCGTCAGTGTGCAGATGAGGTACTGAAAAAACAGCATCCTCGACCACACGCCTGGCATGTACTGCCGGGAGTTGAAGAGGATGGTACCGTTGATTGCCGTGGGGGCAGCCAACTCGCCAAGCAGGACGAGAATCAAAACTTTTTGCTCCCGCTTCTCCCCAAACAATGAAGGGGCCGTCCTCCGCAGCAGCAGCACAAGTAAAAACCCCGCCGCGGGAATCACCAGCAGTCGAATGAAGATGATGCCAAAAACAAAACTCTTCCAAACACCATGCAAAGTAAAGACACGCCGCACGGCACTCATCCATCCGCTACCGGAAAAAAACGTGTCCGGTGAGTCTGTCGTGGAATTCTCACACGACGTCGCCGTAGACACAACAACCGGCGCCTGTTGCAGCTGTTGCTGCAGACTCATCAACGTAAACGACGCGTGCTCGTCAAACTCAATCACTTCATGTCGCTCGTTGTAATCCTCCGTGTCCTTTGGATCCGCAGACGTGTCATCAAGCGGAAATTCCGTGTTTTGCTCAGCCTCGCGAAGCCGAACCTCCGGCGCCGGTGCTGTCAAACTTGTGCTCCCCATGAGATTGGCGCCCAACAACAGCAGCGAGGAAGGAATAGACCCTTGTGCCACAAGAGCGATGGAGTCTGTTAGCATCGAAAGCGGCCCCTCAAACAGCAGCCATCGCAGCGGCGGGGTCAAACCAACAACTAAGCCAGCAATTAAGGATGTAAAAGCAACCGTCTTGAAGAGCCGCACGCCAATATTCTTTAAAGCACGTAAAAAAGAAAAAAGAGTATTTCTGTTTTGACGTTCCGCCTCGGCCTCATCTTCAAAGTCGCGTGCGTACATCACGCTAATGAGGCCACGTTCCTTCCAGTTATAATGGAAAGTTTCAACCGTGGCCGGGGCTGCGGCAAGGCACCAGCGCCATGCGCCGGGCGGAATATCCGTCTGCTCCCCGGTGCTGTGTGCGGTCGCTGCAGCCATCATCTTAGAGGCATTCTCTTCTCCCTCTTTTTCGTGGAGAATCTTTTTGGATGCGGCTTCTCGAATCGTGGACAGGAATTTCGCATTGGGTTGTTTTCCGCTTAAAAAGGGGGGCGCATTCAACCCAATTGGTGATGCTATTAATGAGAATTCCTCATTCACCTCCGTTTGTGTGGCGACATCGCAGCACCCCTGTAGTTTCTTGTGGAGCTCCAGCAACTCACGTATCTTCCGTCGCTTATTCGTTTCCTTCTGGGCACGACCAACCAAAGCTGGCCCGAAGCTCCAGAGAGACGCGGTAGTGGACAGACTGTAAATGAAGATAAATGACGTGCCTGCAGCGAGATCAATCCACGCTAGTGACTCGGCCAGTGCTTGTAACAGCGACAAGGGCAGGGTGACAGTGTTCTGCAAGGAGCATGCAATCAGCGATGCGTATTGGTAAAAGGGCTGCTCCTCGTATTCCACACCGGGTGGTTCAAGAAGCGGCAGCACCTCCTCCGGCTCCACTTGCTGCGTCTCCAATGCACCACTCACCAGAACGCACACCACCGGTTTGAGTGATGGCGAGTGCCGTTGCCCTCGCGCCGCACGTTTTACGTGACGTCCCTCGGCGTCCTGGTAGATGAGTGTGTAACGCAGGGAGTCCCGCAGTCCGTGCGGGATGCCGCTGCAACTCACGCGGAACATTAACTTCGATGCCGCGGTGCCGCAAAGCAGCCCACTCCCAATGACAAATAGCGAGAAAAAGAAGAGAACGGAGCAGCGGATGAGTAACTCCGCATTGATAGACGATGCGACGTTATAAAACGTAAGACACGGCAGCAAAATGTTGGCGATCACAAACGTAAAGTCGCGGACGGTCACAGATGCATTCGGAATCCGTTGGCTTGCAAAGGCACCGATGCAGACGGCAACGACGACTTTCGTCACGGCCAGCACCGTCACGCCAAACATCGTGGCTCAAACACACACAAACACACACACACACGCCTCCAGTGAGGGAGGGGGAGAGCAGCGAGGAGGTGATCTCTCTCTCTCTCTCTGTGTGTGTGTGTGTTTGTGTGTCTGTTTGTTCCTCTCCCTCCACCCCTCTGCCTCCCACACACACACACACACTCACAGAGAGACAAAGAAAGTGAGAGGGGGAGAGAGGCAAGCAGCGTGACGGAAATAAAACTCCCCTTCTTTTTCTTTTTTTTTTTTTTTTGCTTTTTTTTTTTCTATCTTTTTTAATGTCTTTTTTTTCTTTTCCCTTCTTTTCTTTTGTTCTGTTTTGTTGTTGTTTTTGTTTTTGTTTTTCTTCTTCTTTTTATTTGTTGTTCTTGTTGATATCCCTCCACACCCGCCACACAAAGCGGGTAAATTAAAAAAAAAAAAAAAAAAAAAAAGAAAGTGAAAGTGAAAAAAAGGGAGAGAAAAAGAAAGAGAGGGAGAGAAGGAGAAACACGAAGACAACATCGCACAAAACAAAATCAAAAAGACAACAACCAACAAACCCCCCACACACACACTTTGCTTTCCTCTTCTCTCGGAGTGCTCCCATCGCTATTTTCCATCCACTCCACCCCATTATTTGCTCATGGCCCGAAGATCCGCACGTTGTGAGGGCGTGAGCCACGTGGCCGTCCACCGCCGCAGCCACGCCCCCCAACCGCCACGCCCCGCAGCAGTTTTCGCAGCCGCCATTTCTTTTAGCTGCGGGTGACCGGCTGGCAGACACGCCACGACGGAGTACACCGTGCCGGGGCGCAGCACGCGAAATGTCCCTTCCGACACCTCGCCGGTGAGATCGAACGGCACGCGCCACGAGCCGTAGTGTGCAAGGGAGGTGCGCAGCAGGTCCTTGAACTCGTCGACATTTGCAACCGTCCCAAAGTTTGCCTTTCCACGTGTCGCGTCGTCCTGAAATGTCATGAGTAATGTCTGCGGCGACGTGACGCAGTGCACGAGAATCACCGTGCGGCCCGCAAAGGCCAATCGCCAGTTCTGAACGATGTTGTACAAAAACGCCCCATCCCGGTTTGGAAGCGACACAACGACGCAGCCGGAGTCACTCAAACTATTACGCACGCTGTTAATGAACTCCAGACGGCCGTACTGTGTGTTCAACCGTCCCGCCCCATCCATGAGATCCAACATGATAAGATCATAGCGCCGACCGATTTTAGGCACGGCAGTGCGGCGGAGAAATTCAACGGGTTCCGCAAGATACAAGTGAAGATTATTGGACTCCTGAAAGCCCAGGAAACGACGGCAAATGCGTGCAAGGGTGCCGTCACGTTCGACGACATCCACTTGAAAATTCGGAAAGGCCGTACTCAACCATCGTGGGATCTCACCGCTATGCAAACCACACACAAGCGCAGACACAGGGGCCTCCTTCGCAGTCGTGAAACGCAAGGGAAGGGTGGTCTGTGCAATGTCCCGCAAAATATGAACAGGCCCAAGCGTCAACATCATCTTTCGTGCATACTCGCTCTCAATATGCCCAGCATAAGGCACACAGTTATTTAATGACGTGACCGCTCTGCATTTCGTCATGCCATGGATCGTAGAAGCCCCACGTGTCGGCATGCGGGAAAAATACAATGAATTATCCTCCTCCGTCGCCTTTTCCTCCAAGGGTGTCTTTGCCGGGGCTGGAACAGGTTGACCTCCCGCGGCTCCCACTTCCCCATTTTTTGCCTGGGGTGATAAATCCGCTGCCGCGACTTCTCCTGTTTCAACGTTCGTGGGGGTCATGCCCTTCTCGCGTGTGGCGCAGTGAACGTAATGCACGCTGCGGTACACAACATCATTCCCAATCCGCGTGTCATACTCCGGCAGCTCCATACACGCCACGCTGAGACTCTCCCCACGGGAGCCGCGCACCTCGCTATCCTCGCTGTATACAAGCCTGGGCCGTCGCAACGCCCCTTCGGCACTCTCCGTCATTGTCTCTGCGAGATGGCGGCCCGTTGGGAGGCCCCTCCATCCGTCACTGCCAATGTTAAAGCCCCAGAAAACGTTATGTGAACCACTCATCGGCACGCGTGATTGCGGTCGCCGCCATACCGCATCTATCTTTCGGTTAGGCTCCACGTAATACACCATCACCTTCCATCCCACCAGAGCGAGCAACACCCCTGTTGACAGTACGACATACGGCGAGCTTATTCCCTTGTCTAATTCACGAAAAAAAAACTCAGTCACCTTGTTAATATACTGCCGTCGAGGTCGCTGCCCCACAGTGTAGGATGAAAACCGTTTGGACATCAATCGATAATAATAATAATAATAATAATAAGGGAGTAGATAAGTGTACGTACGGATTTGTGTGTTTCTTTCTGTGTGTTTTTGTGGCTTTTACAGCCTATTTAAAAAGACAAAAAAAAAAAAAAGAGCCATTCAATGTGCATCCTTCATACACTGTCTCCAAGTGCAAATGGAAACTGCATATATGTATATATAACCATTAGAAATATATTTAAAACTAAACCACACGAAGTATCGTGTTGGACTCATCTTCTCTCTCCTTCTCTCTCTCTCTCCTTCTCTCTGTGTGTGTGTGTGTTTGTGTCCGTCGGGGGGAAGGAAAAAGTTAAATATCATATTTTTCATAAAATAATCTCTTGTCAGTACAAAAGGACGGAGTGCACGCGCCATGACCGACGGGTACTCTCCGCTGTTGTGCCTCTTCTCTTTCTCCTTCCCACGCCGCTCTTTTCCCAAGCGTCTCGCAGTGCTTTAAGTCTCACTGCATCTGCTGCCAGTCGTGCCTCTTCGTGCGTTAATACGGCCCTTGACCGCTCGTATGCCTCCATAGACAGACGACAAGTCGTCAGAGACGAGCATGATGCTTGCGGTGCGTGGGCACAACTCCCGCCCGGCACACGTCGTCTCGACAGTTGGGCAAAGACATCAAAAAACGCGTCCACCACCGCCGGGTGCGAGACGGCAAAACTCGCCCACTCCTTGTAGGACACACGCCCATCCCCGTCCTGATCCGCCAGTGCCATAAGCGCCTTCGCGGAATAGTTTATAAAGACCCTACGCTGCGCATCTACAGCGCGTTTCAGGTCTGTGAACAGCAAATACCCCTTCTGCTGCGCGTCGAGCGCATCAAAGACGGTGCGGATTCGATCGCCATGCCGTGCGTTGTGTCTCCCCAAAGCGTCCAGAGGGCCCGTGATGGGAGCACAGCGCCGGCAGCGACAGGCGTCCTCCTCGTCCGCAGCACTTTCGCCGATGTCAGTTAACACCCCATCTTCAGTGGCATCGAGAGAAAAGGGAAACAGCGAAGTGCCATCTTTTAAGGATGCGATGCACGCCACGGTTTTGCCTGGCGGCGGGATCACCTCCCTGTCAGCACGGACGTTCCTTCGGCTCATTTCCGGTCGTGGCGGCCGGTCCTGCACGGGGCGGCCCACTCCACGCTTCGCAAAGGCGTACACCTGACAGTCGGTTGAAAGCTGCGCGGCACTGTACAGTTCCACCCAGCGGAGGGCAAACTCATCAAACAACATCATCGCGTCCAGCTGAAAGGATGACTGCGCCTGCGGGACAGCCGTCATGAAGTACGACTCCGTCGCACAGGCCAATTCACACAACGTCGGGTGCGACGAAAACCGCAAACGAATGTTGCGATTGCCCCCGCGCACATTTGCCGCGACTCTAATAAAAAACACCATCCGCGACACTGCCTGGTCGCAGCCACCAACCCCCCTACACGCAGCAGCAAAAAAAAACAATTAAAAAATAAATAAAAAAGGGACAAAAATGAAAAATGAAGGCTCACGATAAAAAGAAACAAAAGGAATTCCCTCCTGCCTATTCACCACCACCACAAAAAAAAAAAAAAAGGAGTATTTATTAACTCACTCGTTTAGACATTTCACATCGCATCGTTTGCTGACTTAGTCTTTCCCTTTTTTTTTTCTTTTTTCTTTTCCATTCAATTGAAGAGAGAATGGCGGAGGACAAATGCAACGTACACCCCCACAAAATCCCTGTTGTCTCTTCGTTGTCGTTGTCGTTGTTGTTTTTGTTAGTGTCATTTATATATATTTTTTCACTTCGCCTCCTGTTCATCCAAATCAAACGGCATAAAACTTTCCTCACAACCACACGAATACTTTTGGTTTGGGTTGCGAAAGGTAAACTTTTCCTCCACACTCCTCGTAACGTAATCCATCTCCGTCCCGATAACATAAAAGAGTGCATTGCTATCAACCACCACCTTCACACCGTCCTGCAGAACCACCACGTCTCCTGTATGCATCCCAGTTGCGCTGCTGGTATCACCGTTGTTACCATGGCTCCTCCTCGTGCCTTGCTTGTCCGTCTCCTTTGGTGGCATCTTTTCATCCTCCGGGTAGTGATATTTCACTGTGTAGCTATACCCACTGCAGCCACGGCGACTTACACCAATACGAATCCCATCGGGCATTTTTGGATGGTGCTGATGTTCTGGATCTTCGTGACACCGCTTCAGCAGGTACTTGACACGACGGAGTGCCTGCGGTGTGAGTGTGAAGGCCGCTTTATGCCGGAAGAGAAGTTGTCGCCGCTGCAACGGAGAGAGCGGGCGGCTGGAGACTACACCGGCGTCCTCCGTGCATGACGAACGTGACGCCGCAAGGTTCTCTTGTCGCGCAGACGCCTCGCTGCCATTCGCCTCAGCGTGAGCACCAGCAGCAGAAACACCAGCGTGCGGCAAGGATGAGGAAGGGGCGGCGGTATCCTTCGCTGCGTGTTTGTCGCAGCCCCGATTTCGTAGAGGTGATGCTGCCTTGCCGCTGCCCTTGTGTGTTGACTTGTACGGCATCGGCGACTGCACCGATCCCTTGGCATCATGACTTCTCCCTGCATTGCTGTCAGTGGAAGCCGTTGTGGTGGTGGTGGTGGTGGTGGTGGCGGAAGTGTAACTTGACGTGTGGCAACGGTGTTGCATCGCGTTGCACCACAAAAAAATCACACGGGGCAGAAACGACGAAGTTGTCGCGATGCCACACACACGTGCCGCTCTACGCATATGGAGTTACGGAGGAATTCCTCCGTTTCTTCCCTCTTGTGGAGCTGTGGGCTTCACCCTCCTGCTACTTTTCTCCGCCGCCTGCAGCTCCCTCCCTCTCCCTCCCTCTCTCTCTCTCTCTCTGTCTCTCTGTTTCCGTGTATATGTTTTCGGATAGGGCCACTGACGGCGGCGTCTCACTGGATGAAAAGAGAAGACAGAAAAAAAAAAAAAAAAAAAGAGGGAAAAAAGGAACCGCCGGCACATAAAAAAAAAAAAAAAAAGGAAAAGTTTGGAAAAAGACACGGGGCGCCGTGGTGGTTTTCTCATCCACATTACACCCCAACACGCACCCAATCCGCCCTGGCAGCAGGTGCCGTCCCCGCAATCTTCCTTTCACGTCACTGGCTTCCGCTTGCAAAAGAGACACACACACAAACAATATATATATATATATATATATATATATATGGATTTCATTCAGCCGCTACAGCACCAACAAAGAGAGAAGAAAGCAGAAGAAAAGTCATGCTCGAAAAACGGAATTTTTGACCACCAGCAATGTTCCCCCCGACGCCGCCTCTGATGCCAAAGAAGACGTCAAGTAACGCACATGAAGGCTCCTTTGCTTAAACGCTTCAACACCATCGGGTGTCTCGTCATCCTCCGCACCACCGCCTTTACGTTGGTGCTGACTCCCTAATTTATGACCAGGCAAATACCCATCCCCCTTCACCATCGTTTGATGTCGACTTGCCACGCCACTTTCAAGCACTTCAGCCAATTGGTGGATCTGTTTTGTCATGAGCTTTCGATTCGCAGTGAGGGGGTTGGAACAGAATGTCAGTGCCCAGTAACGCGACCACAAACACTCCAATTGTGCCTCATCGTCTTTGCTACGCACGAGAGTAATGGGCAGCTCATAGTAGCGGTGTGCATGTACTCCGTACTCCCTGATACGCTCAGAAGGCACCCACGTAGATGTCGTGGACCCTTCCCAATGCTTTCCTTGTGTGTGTTGACTTGTCCCCTGTTGCTCTGCCACGTAGTTCTCTGGAAATGTACGAAAAGCCTTCATATCCAACTTGCCAGTTGAGATGGTGCGCACAGGGTCAACGACGATAGCCAGCCACGGGTCTTGTGCAGTTTGTCCAAGCTGCTGCGTGTTAACATCTGTGCCAGAAAGAAAACAGGTGTAGCCAGGGTGGCTGTGGTACCACCCGATGCAGCCTTCCTGCGTCCCGCCGCGCTGATGGTACTGAAGGAAGTCAAGCATGTACAACTGGGAGGCGTCATTCATGGAACACTCCACCTCGGAGGCATCGACAGGGAGAGCAAAGGCACTCGTGACAATCATTTCATCCTCGTTAAAGTGGCCCAGCATGAGACCCATCACCTCAAACCAATTCTCGCGGCTCGGCTCATTTCGCATGGACGCCGCAGAAGATTCAGCAACGCCACTGCCGTTGGAGCACGTCACGTTGGGGCTTCCACGTTTCGCGTGGATCATCATCTGCAGCGCCGCGAGAACCGAAACCTTCACGCGTTGGAAATAGCGCGGTGACTTCTTCCACGGCTGTGTTTTGTGCAGCTCCTCCATGAGCTCCATGTTGGGGGATAAAAACGCGTCATCCGTGATGACGGAGTTATGCATCTCCCATTGACTACGTGTCACCTCATGGCGATCTCCCCGTCTTGCAGCGTCAGGCTGCATCATCATCATCGTTGTCGTCGTCGTTAATAATAATATGCAGCAGCTGCTGCTGCAGATCTCAACAACCGCACCTTCTCTGTGTGTGTTGTCTTTCTATTGATTTGACGAGTCTTCTCTCCTGTCTGCACTAATACGTCCCCCTCTTCCCATAACTCCCCCATTATCCGTTGCAGTTACCCAAAACGCAAACATGCATGTATGCATAAATAAATAAAAAGTAAAAAAATAAAAAATGGCAGTTCATTCACGAAGAAACAACAACATTAATAATGAGGAAAAACGCCCACAGAAAGAGGCCGTAAAGACGATGGTGCCGCCGTCATTACGACCCCTTCCCCAGCCGTTGTGCGGTGAAGTTACAATGAGGAAATTATGATGAACGGGTCCCCGCATTAGTTTTTATTCGCCTATCCCTCCCTCCCTTTGTATTGGATATATTTTTTTTTTCTCTTCCCCTCCTTCCTTCCTTCAAATTAACCGCCGCATTCCAACAAGTAGAAAGAAGCAAACAGAAAAAAAAAAATGGTCCTTCATTTTCGTCTCGTCTTGTTATGAGCAGCGCGCAGTAAATTCACCTGTGCCCTTGTTAGACCAGTCCGCTGCATTCCATGCATAGTGGCCGCGTAGAATTTAGCGTCAGCGGCGGTGTAGCCCCGTGATGGGCCCCCGCGCTTCGTCTCTGCGCACCGCACCTCCAGCGAGTGAACAGGACCCGACGAGGTCAACACAATCGGTGAGCGAAGCACCACCACGGCCGCCTCTTCCTCCTCCTCCTCCCTCTCATCGGATAAATTGGCAACTGCTGGTGTGGCAAAAGAATGAGTGGCGATTGTGAAGCAGCGACCGTTGATTTTGTCCTCGCCCGCCGCGTCGCAGTGCGCGACAAGTGACACAGTCACTGGGGCCGATGTGGTCGTCGCAAGGCGCCGTGTGAACACCACGTCGGTCAGTGCGGTGACAAAAGAAAGGGACTGCGGCTCGTGGTGGTTCCCTCGCAGACGCATGCGATCACCGCCTCGCACCGTCAGGAGAAACGGCGTCGTGATGTCCGGCATGTACTTTCTTTCTGTTCCCCCCCACTACCACCACTGCACCACCACAATGGGGGAAAAAGTGAAGGCGACATGTCATTTAGAAAGGGAGAAGGGGGAAGGAAAAAAGGAAATAGAACAAGAAAGAAACAAACATACATCAAAAGAAGTAAACCCAACAACATCGCGACCACAAACAAACGCACAAAAAAAATAAAATAAAATAAATAAACATAAAAAGAGTGAAATCACATGTCGCCCCCTTCCCCATCCCCTCGACACACTCGTATCAGTCCAGTCAGCAACACTTCCCCCCCCCCCCATTTAAGAGGCACGGAGATTTCTCGGTTGCCGGAAAGATACCCGTGTCGTTTATTTATCCCCCACACACGCACACACTCGCAGACACGGACATATCCCCAACCAAAAGTAAAAAATAAAAAATAAAAATAAAAATAAAAAAGGAATTGAAATGACACAACCCAAACCTACGCGCTGGCAAAGTGGGATTTTTGTAAAAAAGAAAAAAAGAAAAAAAAAAACGGCACAGAAAAAAGTGTCTCTCTCGCTTTCTCCTCTAATGCCCAGTTATATGTGATGTGAAGAATTGGAATATTGGCAGCTCTCTGTTTCTGCCCTGTTCCATCTGTGCCTAACGTACATTATACATTGGACGCCGGGGCACGATCAAATCGTTCGCGCCGAAGAGCCATTGCCTTTTGCGACAACTTCTCTGATATTGTGGTGTGTTCACCGTGATGAAATGAAACAATCTCGTCATTTATGACACATGTGAAAGGCGGCACATCATTCTCCATGGGACGCAGATCCCCGCCAAGACTACGGAGTCGCGAGGCTGTAATGAAGACGACCATTGGTTGCATATTTAAGTTATACTTTTGGCAGTACTTCCGCATATGCAAGCTGAGGAAAACATTGTACCGATGACCATCCACGCTGAGAAAAAGAAGAGGGGGACATGTCTCACGTGTCACCAACTCAGGAGCCTCCAGCTGCGCGGCGTTGTACAACATGAAAAAGTCCTCCTCCGGCCGAGAAGTGGACTCCTGAGACACTGGACGACTTTCTTTTTCACCCGAGGCCGGCAATCGGGTTGCGGCTGAAGGTCTTTTTATGAGAATCCCGCACCCTCTCTGTGAGGGCCGCACCGCCGTGCCAAGAAGAGCCGCCTCCTCCTCAGTGATCCAGTACGGTGCTGTGTACTGCGCATACGAGGGATGTTCTTGAAGCGTGCGTTGAACATGCCGTGAATGCGGGCGCCCTGCGGCACTCATTGGCACGTTACGCCATTCCGGCAGTGTCTTCCCGCTGCATTTCAGGGAAGCGGAAACCGACGCATCCGGGGCACTTGTCTGTTCGAGGTTGTACAATTTGACGGTTTGCATCATGGTAGAGATATCCACCCCTTCTTCGCCATCCTTCACGGTGTAGCCGAAACGCGTAAAGGCCGTCCTTGTTGACCACACTGGGGAGCGAAAATGTCGTGAGGCAGCCGCGACGCACAGTCGCTGGGCCACCTCGGCATCGTAAAGTTGCTCGTGCGTGTTCATCGGCTTGTAGTAGGAGGGCATTTCATGTTTTGCGGCTACGTTTTCCTCCTCGATTTTCGTCTCCTCGTTCTTCGGGAACTTCTCTGCTTCTGTGGACGGAGCTGTCTCTTCTTCATGTGCCCTGCAGTTTGCCACCGGCCCAGCGTCACGAGGCACAGCAGATCCACCCAAAATATTATCAAGGGAATCCTTCATCGTTGTGAAGACGGCCACATGCGGCTTTGCCACAGTCGTGGACCCAACATCACGTGCGGATGTCAGTTCTGGGGCCTTCTTGTTTTTCTTTTCCACGCGAGTTGACCGTGACGCCGCCCAAAGAATCGAAGTGGCGAAAACGGCGGATAAACGAGTCCTTGTGGGAGTAAACATTGCAGATGCACACGCGCAGTCTCTCGTGCGGCTTCTTATCACACAAACTCTCTCTCGTTGTCTTGCTCTGTGTGTATGTGTGCTGTGGTTGTGTAGCGGAGTGTCTAGAAGGGGGTTGGTTTAGTTTTTGCGTCGCTTTTCACTGACAGGGGGAAAAAAAAAGAAAAAAACAGGGGGGAAGAGTAAGAGAAGAAGGGAATATTGGATGGCCGGCAAGAAGACAAAAACAAAAAAAAAGAACGGCACAAGACGCACACAAAAGGCAAAAAAATAAAATAATTCAGCGGTGAAAGAAGCACCACTTAACAGAGACGTCGGGCGCTCAAACATCCCTCATGGGCCTTTGAAAGAGCCTTACAGAGGCAACATGACGTAGTGGCTGTTGTTGTTGTTTTCCGTTTTCTTCTTTTCTCTTCTTTTTTTCTTTCATTGTTTTTTGTTTTTTTTTTTTTTTTCGTCGCACGCATTTTCTTTTCTTTATTTGTTGCTTTTGTTTCTTGTACATGTATATATGTATGATTATGTGTGTCCCCCGGCGTCCAATTACGTCCACGCTGCGCATCCGGCGGTCACGCCTATCCCTCCGTGTTGCGTTCACCTGCGCAGCCACATCTGCAGCGGGCAGTGATCACTCCCCATCACGTGGGGCATCGTGAAGCAGTCCACGACGTGGCGGGCCAACGCGGCGGAGACCACGAAGTAGTCCAGCCGCCAACCGAGGCCCCGGGCCCTGCCGTTGATGCGCGCGGACCAAAATGTGTAAACGGGTGCCGCCTTTGGGTACAACGCACGGAAGGTGTCCACCGCATTTGCCACCCGCAATGTTTCACGGAACGAGGCGCGTTCCTCCGGGGTGAAGCCGCTGCACTTCTGCATCGCCTTGTAGGAGCCGGCAAAGTAACGGTCGTAGTCACGCTCGGCGACATTCAGGTCGCCTGCCCAGATGAAACCTGCGAGTGACGGGGCGTCGCCCTCCTCCTTGTCGTGGTTGCAAGAGCGTCCCAAGGTGCATAAATGTTGCCGGATCCGCAAATCAAACTTCTGGCAGCGGTACGGGAGGCGCTCCAACGACATCCCACTGTTGGGGATGTATGTATTCACCAGCGCCAGGGCAAAAGTCTCGCTGCCCTTTCCTTGCGTCCCAAAGTACGTGGTGAGAACGCGTCCCTCCTCATCCCCTTCACTATGACCGACATCCTGCGGGCTTTTCAAGGTGTCAAATCCCTTTACGGTGACCGTCTTCCACTCCGCGGCCGCCGTATTTTTGATGTACGTCCGTGTGCCAGAGTACCCCTTCTTTGCGCGGCAGACGTGGTCGACGAAGCGGTACCCTGGCACCTCGCCCAACTTTTCATTTTGTGGATCGTCCGGGTTCAGCTTCGTTTCCTGCAGACACAACGCGTCCGGCCCCTCCTCCTCGAGCAGTCGTTGGATCGCCTGGTCATCCTTCCGCAGCAGCCCACGCAGGCCAGCAACATTCCACGTGATGAATTTCAGCATATGTTTGCTGTCGAAATCCTTCGCCGCTGTTCGGCGCTGGAAGGGCTCCACTTGGCTCCAAATATCCTTCTCCGTCTTCCTCGTGTCATCGTCCGACGGTGGCGGGGCGGTCAATACGGCCGCGAGGGGACGATTGGGAGATGTCGCCTCCGCACCCGCAGAATTTAGCGAGCGGGAAGGTGGTGTCGGCGTACGAATTCGCGTGGAACGCGTGGCGGGTTTCTTCGGCGATGTGGCCGACGGGGATCGACTGCGTGTGCGCTTCCCCCCGGCCGCCGCAACCGGCTTCTGTTCCTTAGGTCCCGACGGCATGACACTTACGGCACCGCACAGCCGCACGATAGAAACGCACATTACAAATGATACGTGCGGGCAAAATAAAAATAAAAATAAAAAGATGCAAAGTAAAATAAAAGGCGCGGTGGCAGCACGATGCCCCTGCGATCGACCACAGGCAGCAAATAATCCACAGAAACAGTGAATTGAAAGGTTGAAAGAAAGGGAGGCGGAGCAAAGCACCGCGGTACAAACAAGACGTGTACACGTCGCACAATCAATGCAGATGAAACCTACACACAAACACACACAAAGGAAAAGTCGCAGAATCCAAAATGACACCATAAAAAAAAAAAAAAATTTCGCCCCTGGTGGCGACAGGGACATCGTCGTGACGTTTGGCGGTCATAAACACCCCTCCAAAACAAAGACCGGGAAAAGGCAAAAAAGACATTGATGCAATTAACTGCTTAACCGCATGAAAGTCACCGCACCCTCTCACTCCCAGCGGACCCACGCAAGACACACGAGAGCCTTGAGTCCTAATTGCCTTTAAACCATCGTCACAACGACGCGGCAGCGAGAAAGAGAGACATGCAGTTCACCACATCTCTCACCTACGCAAATGAGCCCTCATATAAACCCACCCCAATAGTCAGTTCCTTATGATCTGCCACATAACAGCCTTCCTATAGAGTTTCCACACGCACTCAGGTAAGAAAGAAATGAAAGCAAATAGATACACACGACGCATAGCCATCACTGGCGCAGTGTAAATACATGCAAAATCCTTTTCATTGCATCACCCCAAGCTTCTCAAGACCGTCACCAAAAAAACAAAAATACAGAAAAAAATCACTCAGCCCCACACACCCATTCCTTCACTCCCGTACATTATTGGCCAGAAAGTTGTCTTTAACCCCTTTAAATGCACTTTACCATGCTTTTTCCCTTAATCACTCAGCCCCACACACTCATTTCCTCGCTCTTGTACATTACTGCTTTTATTATAATGACCTTTGTCGGGCAGTTACGGTTACGATGGACATCTTGACTGCGTGCCGCCCGTATGTCCGATTTAAGCCCTTTATTCTTTTTTCGCGCCAAATCCACCCCTGCCCTCCGCTTTCTGGTGGGGTAGGCACGGCGCGGTGACGGCTCAAGGCATGCCCGGAAAGCGGCGTCTCCACTCACACTGTCGGCTTCTCCGGAGAAACTGGATGGGACTCGATGCGCTTCTCTTCCTCCTGCTCCTCGTCTTTGCCGTCGGGCAAACAGTAGTCTGGACTTTTGCGCTGCTCGCGCAGTGCTCGCCGGTTTCGGCTCTCCACGTACCACAAAACAATACTGTACACGGTGATTGCAAGCACCACGCACAGCAACAGCAGCAAGATCGCCGCGTGCCCCCTCACCCCGTCGTCGCTGGGCGCAAGATGGTTTGCCGCGTTGACAATACACAGCGCGCCGAGTAACACAAAGCCTGCCGTATGCATCACTGTCAAAAAAACCGAGCGCATCATGTTCGTGTATGCAACCACGCCCGCACCCGTAAAAAGCACAGCCGCCATGCAGAAGTACTGGACGTGGCAGCCTCCCACGGGCGGGCGCACAGCGGCAATCAGGCCCACCACGCACAACACCGACAGCTGGAACACGCACATATACGCTTTTCCGTCTCTTACGTGCGAAAAGATGCTGCCGTACATCCGCTGCTGCGCCGCGGGGTACCAATACCCGACGGGGTACAACCAGCGCAGTGGGAACGGCTTATTCGAAAACTCCTCGTATTCCTTGAACTCCGCGTCACAGCGGCACGACACAAAGTAGCACACGCCAGCAGGGAACGCCACACCGTAGAGCACGCCAACGACACCGAGCACGTAGTGTTGCACCTGTGCGTCGGACATCGTCAACAAAAAGGCGGAAAACACACAAATGCCAGGGTGCATCACGTACGCCACAAGGTACGTCAGACTCGGGAAGCGCATCGCCGCCCACGCACTCGCAGCGTCCACGCCGCGCCACCGCTGGAAGGCCGCCGTCACACCGTAGTGCACGCACCCGAACACAGCGGCGAGCAGCGCGTTGCCCACCACCATCCACAGCGGGTCAAGGGCAGCGAACACCGACAGAAAGTACGGCAGCAAAGCCGTGCTCGCACGCTCCCAAGCGGGTGCACATGACATCTTCGCGAACACGCCGAGCGCCTGCATCTCCACGATGGGACCCAGCCAGCCGCCAGCGGCGATAGCAGCAACGGCTGTGCTGGCACCAACACCGTTCAACACCAAGAGTGCCCGCGACAGTCCCACCGGCGTGTTGGAATTGATGGTGAACGCCCCTTCCAGCACACCGGTGCATCCGCCGTGCAGCGCATGTGGAGTGTACGCAAGAAGAATCTTTTCGTCCATCCCAATAAAGTATTTGCCGTCTTTGGGTACAGTGACCTCCAGTACACCCCGCGGGTTCGTCCTGTTGCGCTCCCATGTCGCGTTGCGCAGCTTCTCTCCCCATGGCCCACTGTAGCCGTTCGGCTGCATGAACGACGCGAGCGCAAATGTCAAGTATGGGCGGAGATCAGCGTCGCGTTCCCATCGGAACGGTGGAGGCAACGCCACCGTCAGCTTCTTCGGCGTGGCGCCACTCAAGCGAATGTCTTCCAATGTCAGGCCGCGGCCCGGTAGTATTGACACATCCAGCGCCGGGCATGTCACGGTGCGGTTGCACCCGTCCACGTGCGGTAGGTACACCGGCAGGCAGTCGCGCCCGTACCCGCCCTCAGCACAGCGGCAGACGCACGACCCCGACATCGCCCTCGTCGCAGCAGCAAAGCAGTTCACACGGGCGTCACATGCGCCGCACGCCACGGTGCGTGTATATCCCGAGATGCCAACGGACTCATACTCTGCAGCATTCAGTGTCTGCCCATTGTGCCTTACGCAACCAACAACGAAATCCCCACCGGGGCCCTCCACCGCAACGGTGCCGTTCATCACATGAGAACCACCGCCAATGTTTCCGTACAGCGCAAACGTGCTCTTTAAAAAGGCCATTTCTGACGGCCGTGACGGTAAAGACAGAAGCCTTTGTCTGCCGCCAATCTCGTTCCCGCGCACTGACAGCCACGACCCGGACGCAAACGAAGCAGAGCCCCGCAGCACCAGCAGCGCGTCATCGGTCAGCGCACCGGTGTTGTCGTTGATAACGACGGCGGATGCGTTCAACGAGAGGCCTTTATAAAACAGCAAACCGCAGCCCGCGTAAACACCACTCTCCGACACGCGCAGCACGGCGCCCTCCGACAGCACGGTCCGCCCACCCACGTAAAAAGCATAGTCGCCGCCAAAAGAGGCGGTCTCCAGTGAAACGCCGCTGCTATCCAGCCGAAGCGCGGCCCCATCCACAATCACCGTCCGTCCACCACTTTTGACCGCCAGAAAGCCAACACCATGCATCAATAGGGTGGAATTTACAAGCTGTAGGCCGGAGAGTACCAGCGCCGGAGTGTACACCGCGGCCTGAGAGCCCAGAAGGTACTCAAGCGGCGTCGACTCAGTGGTGATAAGCAGGGATTCGGTCATGGTCAACATAGACTTCGCGGGGAAGGTGCCGGTCAGCACAATCACGCCGTTGAACGCCTCCACACTGCAGATCGAAAGCTCCAGCTGCAGCTCCGACGACGGCCATGCGCGAGAAGCGCCTCCTCCGCCCATCACGTACAGCACGGCGCCATTGCGCAGCGACACGTTCTGCACAAAGATCCGCACGCCGTCCCGCGCCATCCACGGCACGTAGAGCACAGGACTCACGCCGTCCAGCACAACGTGGCGCAGCGTCACCTCGCTCACGCCGGCAGGCACAACAAAAGTGGACTGCACCACCGTATTCTCAATCTCGAACGCAGACGCGATAAACCCGGCAGAGGCTGGCAACGCGGGAGCTCCCACAGGCACGCACGCCTCGCCGTACCCGCCGCTGCCGCACACGCACACGCACACACCGTCCTTCATGCTCGCCGACGCCGTCCCGGGCGCGTAGCAGTGCGTGTCCCTGTCGCAGGCGTCGCACCCAACAACGCCGATGCTCCCAGCGTCGCCAAAACCAGCCGCTGCGTACTCCTCCGCCGTCGACAGAACACGTCCACCAGCGTCGTTGCACGCCACCCTCAAATGCGCCCCAGCCGCAAGCGACAGGCTCAGCGACAGCATCCGCGGCAGCAGCGCTCGGTTGCGCACAAAGCTCAGCGTGCTCCCAACAGCGGTCACGGCGCCAGCGGCGTGGAGCATCTCCCTCGAGACGCCGTCGTGCACGTTGCCCTTCGCAAGCAGCATCGACCCGCCAGCCAGGCTCACCGTCGAATAAAACGCCACCGCGTAGTCCTCCGTCGACGCAAAGTCGCTCCGCACAAGCGCCACAGCGGAGCCCGACACGCTCACAGCCCCACGCACAGACACCGCGTGCTTGCACAGCAGGAAGTCGCTGTCAACAAACGCCACGACGGAGCCGCCACTGGCCGCAATACCGCCCTCCACCGACACGCACAGCCCCAGCGCCGTCTGCACCGACAGCCCGTCCACGTACAGCGCACCGCGCGACGACAGCGCCACGCCGCCAACCACCAACACGCCAACAGCGTCGCGGAACACAGCCGCCACGTGCGTGCGCGCGATGGTCAGCACACTCCCCGTCAGATTCACGTTGTGCACCACGAGGCACGCGGACGCGTCGCCAAGGCCGTAGTCGCCGCGGTACGCAACACGCTTCTCTGCGATCAGCACCGAGTCCACCACAGTGACGCGCGAGCCCGGCGGAAATCGGTTCGCCACCAACACGCCGCCGCCGGAGCGCGACTCAAGCCCGCTGATCAACACATCGGCGCGCTCGCCAGCAGTCGGGTCGGACAGCCACCCAACAACGTACAGGCTCGCTCCACCCAAAAAAGTGCAGTTCGCCAGCGTCACGTTGCGCACGCTCCCTGTCATCGACTCCATTTCCACCACGAAGTCCGCCGCAAAGGTCACACCAACGTAGCACACCACCGACTGCCGATGCCCTGCAACCACATCCCACGTCACATTCATGTTCCGCACACACGGATCATCGTCATGGCTCCTAGGAACATAGACGGGCAGGCAGTGGTCGCCGTGTCCGCCCTCCGCGCACCTGCAGGCGCAGCCATCACTCGAGACCGTCGTCGTGTACGCAGGGAAGCACGATGACGCGAGGATGCATTGGTCGCTGCACCTCTCCTCCTTTACAGCAAAAGCATTGGAAACCTTATCGCGCAATTTTTCCGCCGAGCCTGCCGGCTTGTTGCAAGCAAGGATAAGGGTTGAGGTATTACTCCCCTCAAAGCGGCCGTTTGGCTTGAACGCCACGGCGGCAGC